CCTCTGCATTTTCCATTGATCAGGTGAAAGTTGTTTTTGCAAATTTTATTGAGAACAAATTTGGAAACAATATACATTATTTGTGATACTTGCACATAGTTTAATTTAATTATATTTATTCTTTCTTATCAACTTATTTGATGAAATTTTTCCACTATTAAATTGCAGCTGTTAACATCTTTTCAGTGACTTTTAAGAAGCCACAGTATTCAACTGCTGTTAGATTGGGTAAAAAGAATATATGTTTTACATAAGTTATTACTGAGTTATCTTTGAATCCTCATCTGAAATCAGTTGTATATTTATGTATGGACCTATTTCTAAGCTCTCTGTCCTGTTACAATGGTGAATTTTTCCATCTTTACAATATTCCGCTGTTTTGGTTACTATAATCTTGTAATAATTCTTGAAAAATGGCAATGTCAACCTTGTCATTTTATTCTTTTTCAGAGATGTTTTGGCTATTGTAGGGCTTTTCTTTGCATTTACATATTAATTTTTAGATAATATTAACAATTTTTACAAATATGAAGTCCACCAGAATTTTGATTGGGACTGCATTGGTCTATAGACTGATTTAGGTAGAATTATCTTATCAGTGTTGAGTCTTCTGAGCCTTGAATATGATATGTTATTCCCTTTTTCAGATCTTTTATTTCTTTCAGCAGAGAATTTTAGTTGTCATTCTTTCACACATTTTTATCGGATGTATCCCTCAATGTTTTATATTTTGAATGTTACCTAAATTCAATTTTTAATTGTCTGATTTTTTCAGTTTATAGAACAACAAATGATATTGTATATTGATCTTACATAAATCTTGCAACCTTGCAAAAAGCATTTCTTAGTTCTTAACAGCTCTTTAAAGATTCTTTGGGATATTATACATAGATGATCGTGCCACCTGAAAACAGAGTGTTACATCATTTTTTCCAATCTGAAAGTTTCTAAGTTATTCTTATCTGATTGTATGGACCAGAATTTCCAGTACAATGTTTAATTGAAGTGGTGCAAGTAGATATCCTGTAATTGTCTCTGATCTTAGAAATAATGCTTTTTGTAATTAACTATTAAACATGCTGTTTGCTGTATTTTTAAAAATATAACTTTCTATTTCTAAATTGCTGAGAGTTTTTAATCAGAAAAATATGTGGGATACTTGTCTGTTTTCTTTAATTGTGGTGGTCAGACTTATTTTGGTTTCAGGGTAATAATAGAAAGAATTAGAAAATATTCCAGCTGGGCTCGGTGGCTCAGCCTGTAATCCCGCGCCTTTGGGAGGCTGAGGTCAGTGGATTGCCTGAGCCCACGGGTTCGAGACCCTCCTGGGCAGC